CTTAGCTGTAGAGGGCAGTGTCACTGGCCCTCATATGTGGGATCTGAACCGGGGCTCTCTGGCGTCCCAAGCCAGTTCTTAACCATCGTGCCACTCAAAGTATTTTCTTAATGTCTTTAGTGTTAGCATATCATTAAATTAGTGATAGCTGCATGGGTTGATTAAAGTAGGAAGAGAAGATGTAAATTCTTCACAGTACTTTTCCAAATCTTCAGTGTCATAGAACCTTAGAGCATATGGAAATGTAGAGATTTTTGGTCCAAACTGTCATTTTGATTTAGAAAATTTGAACTCCAAACTTGCAGTTACAATACTGCCCAGTTGGCTGAGAGCTGTCTATGTAATTAAATGATAAACTTGGATTATTTGTAGATTTATAAGCTGAATATTTATAGTATTTTACAGACTATTTCATCTATAGAGTTCTCTTTTCCTTTTGATGTAGTATGGAATTAGAATAATTTCTTTATTTTTACCCATAAATATTTTAGGTGTTGTAAGTCATTATGAAGTCATTATTAACACTGTCTTGTGATGATTACTACTTATATAAAAAGCTGGCATTTTTATAGGGCCTCTTCATATGTAATTAACCAGAAGTGTTAATACTCTGTGTAATGTTTGTAAAAATAGAAGCTCCTAATTTTAGGAAATAAGTAAGCAGTCTAATTTAGAAAACTGTGTTTTGAATAGTGGTGATGACCTTTTTGGTTTTCCTTCCCCAGGCTATGAAAGGAGAGAAAGGAATTGGCGGAGCAGTCACAGCTACAGACGGACTAAGTGAAGAACTAACAGAGGAGGCATTTAGTAAGCAGCGCTGTGACACATTTATGCAACTAGATTTGTTCTTAACAGTTCATGTAGCTTGTTAGCGGTGATTTAGTATTGCAGATATTAATACTTAAAGTCTGCAGTGGTACTTTAGGAATATCAGTATTTTGACGTAGCACAATCTGGAATCATTCTTATTCGTTCATGCCCCTTGTATTTGAAGCCAGTGAGGGATAAGTGGCAAATTTTAATTCGGCAGGCATTGTGATCGCTCAGCAGTAGTTCTGATTTCCATCGCCCTTAGTTTTTGGCGTAAGACTCATATGAGACAGGAATGCTGAGCATTGTAGGTTTAAATACATTTGAACTGGTTTCTTTTTTAAAAAATCATCATATTGTAATATTGGTGAAATAGAAGGTCTGTGGTTGATTGTATTTCTCGTGTAAAATTTATATGTATATGTTTTCTGTTTCTCGGACGTAAAATATATACTGCTTAGTTACTTAAGTGTTGCTTCCAGCCACGCCTCAGGGTGTAGGTCTACCCGGGAAGCAGAAACTCAGTCGAGTCTTTCTGCAGATTTGTACACTTGGGTAATCAGCTAACGTACACTTCAGAGAACTAAAGATTCAGAAAATCAAAAATGGTATAGAAGAAATGTGCTTTTTAAGGAGCTTTTTTTAAAATGGAAAATTTGGGGGGTTAGGATTTTGCCCAAGATGACACTGATAAGCAACAGAATTGTAATTAAGACATGAATGGCATGACCTCAAGTTTCAGGCCAAGAAAGCGGATGCAGTCCTTTTCTCACTTGAACCTTTTCTGTCTTTTAGCTAACCAGTTACCAGCTGGCTTAATAACTGCAGATGGTCAACAACAAAACGTTATGGTTTACACAACATCATATCAACAGGTAGAGTACTTTCTTTGTATTTTAAATTATTATTATTTTTAAGAAATTTTATTGGGGAACAGTGTATTTTTCCAGGACCCATCAGCTCCAAGTCAAGTAGTTGTCTTTAATGTAGTTGTGGAGGTTGCAGCTCCTTGGCTCATGTGGGAATCTAATTGGCAACCTTGGTGTTATGAGCCTGCGCTCCAACCACCTGAGCTAATCGGCCGCCCCTTAAATTATTTTTAAAATTGATTATATCTATTGATTTTTATCACAGGTAGTTAATTTCAACATATTAAGAACCTGAAAAAGAAGGTTGTTAAAAGTTGGTTTCTCAAAATATGTAACTGTGTATAGTGTTCTTTTCATGGTTAAAAATATATACACACACATTCATATTTGCATAGATTTCTAGAAAGATACACAATTAACAAAGTAGCTCCCATGGGTAGAGAGAATGGAGATTTGGGGTGGACTCATTTTTCATTGTCTATTGTTTTTATTCACTGAATGCTTATAATATGCATAAGTTACTTTGAAACTAACATTTCTTTAATTCTTGTCAATTTAAACTTGCTTAGATTTCTGGTGTTCAGCAAATTCAATTTTCATGATCTGAAGAAGTGATGGAATGGCGAGTATAGAGAAGCAAGCGATCTCTATGCTCTGGAGCAGAGACATCAGAAGGAAGTGACTGGTGAAAGGGTGTCTCTTTGTATATTAAATAGCTGTAATGTAGCTTCCTGATGCTTGACTAATTGAGGTGTTAATTCTGACTTGAGAATCTTTTTCATGAATGATTTTAAAGAAAAATTTGGATTTTAAAGGTATTAAAATATTTTTGTTTTGTACGAGAGTTTGTTGCTCTGTATGACTCCTGGATGCATTGTATATTGCAATTTATTACTGTCAGAGATTTGTAGACAGTTTCTTATTTTCATATTGAATCATGTTACTTTTGTAATTCAAGTAAGCAGCTGGGTTAATTCATGATGTTTGCCCTTTTAATAAAATATAAGGGTAGAGTTCATTTTGAATGCAAGTTGCCTTTATTATAAATTTGAGTTTGTCTTGGTTATATAATATCTTGCATGATAACCTAGCTAGATTTTTAGCATTTGCCATATTTATTAAAATTAATTTTTTGGTAAAACATTCATAGCTTAAGTAAGCAGCACCATTTTTAAAAAAATGTAATTGGAAATCAGTGTGAATGCAGAAGCAGTTATTGTCTGCCCGATTAAACCTGGTGCCCATTAACAGTGTTTACACTGTTCATTGTGCCTGTTCAGATAGTTTCAGTTTATTGGCGCTCTGTTAAGACTAAATTTGTTTATGAGTTACATTATTATGAGTGTTGGAATTCATTTAAGTTTAATGCAATCCTAGTGCTCTTGAAATGGTGCCCGTTTCATTTAGTATATGATTTTTTTCCAAAGCATATCTTCAAATACTATAGTATCCTCTTCCAGAGGAGGAATTTTCTAGTCTGATGGTAAATGTCTTCATTTTACCTTTTTAATTGAAATGTCAAGTTTCCTATTATACTATGGGAACCAAGAAACGTCAGACATCATTGTGTGTACACAGACCTTTGTGTGCATGGGTGAGTGAATGACATGAAGAACAGAGTGAGTGCCATGAACGGTGTAAAGTAGAAGCCGCCAACGTCCAGTGTGCTGTCTTGATCTTCGCAATAAACTCAACTTAGATAATGTAACGTCGTATAATTTAGTAGTATGTACTTGGGCTGTTACTTTTTTCAAGTGAGGATGTGTATGTTTTCATCTGTTCTTTCAGATGATAATTAACTTTTTGTTTTAATATCAATAGTTGCTATTTTGTAGTTTGCTTAAAAGGGAGGGAGCTTGAGTGAAGGTCATTTTGGAAGGACACTCATATTTGTAAGGTAGAAGAATTTCCCAGATGTAGGCTGAACAGAAACATTTACTTTGCCAGAAGGAGCCTTTGGGGGCATATCTGGACTAATCTAAGGTTAAATACTCCTTTACTACCGTTCCCATTTAAAACCTAATCTTCATTACAGAGAATTCAAATAAGCAAAAAAAACAAATGGATGAGGCGTGGTTAAGCAAAATCATCCATCATCCTACTGTGTTGAAATAACCAATGTTAATATTTTGGTAAATATCATTTGTACTTTTACTTTGCTAAATATGTATATTTTTATAAAACTAGGCTGATACTTGCATACTGTTTCATAACCTGCTTTTTTCACTTAATATACTGTGAACATCTTAGGTTATTACACAGTCTTCTATTTTTATTCCTCTATTCTATTGTATGGCTGAACCATAATTTATTTAATCTTCTGTAGGACATTTTGACTATACATCTTTTCAGTTATAAACAACACTTCACTGAATCTGATGTACATCCATGACTGTTTTTTTAAGATAATTTCTTAGAAGTAGAATTGCTGGGTCAAAAGCTACACAAAATTTTAAGGTTTTTTGATACATATAAGTGTATTTTTGAAATATCTTTCATTTGATCCATGTAGTATGTTACTATATAAGTGATAAAAAGCACTTGGTCTTTGGTTATCAGATTCTTTCCCTAAAATTAAAGATTGGGTTATATTTAAGAATCAAGATAAAGAAAAATGAGATGACTTTAAAATTGATATCAATGTATACCAAAACAAATTTCTAAATAATCTGCTGCTAGTACTAATGCTTTAAAGTAGGTAAAATCAGGTCAGCTTTGGGTTATGTGGTCTTCAGGCCCTCCTGCATATGTCACGTCCATAATCTTACACACAGAAGAGGTCGTGTTGGCTTCTTACCTGGGCTCTGTTGCATTGAATTGAATGCCATGTTTTATTTGCCTCTGGATTTTAAGTATATAAGCTCCTACATTAACCTAAAAGTGGTTTTTTTGGGGGTTTTTTTTTTTATAACTGCATATTGTTTTTATGAGTATCTAAGAGAGAAATGAACTTCAGTGACTAAGACATAGATAGAAGAAGGGACTTTAGTAGCTTCTATTTACCTCATTACAGAGGAGATGCTTTATTTCAGACTTGTTTTAAATGCTGCCTTCCTAATGTCATATACTTGGTATGATGATGTTTTAAGCTGTTTGTATTTCTTTCCCTCCTGCAGTGTAATACCTTTTTTCTAAAACGTGCCTTATTGCCTGTTTTCTGGATTTGGATTGTCTTAGTGAGTAAAGGAATACCAGTTCCCTTTAGTAGTGCTAATTGAACATAGTTGTGAGGGTCCAACTACAAGAATATCGACAGCAATAGCAATTAGGTGTGAAAACCAAATCAAGTAGTTTCTACCATTTGACAAGAATAAAATCTTACAGTGCAGGTTTTTAAAAAAAATACTTTTTCTCTTAGGGAAAGTTATTATGTTATCAACAGTCAAAAACAGGACAATATTTGTTGCTTTATGTGATAAAATATACTTTTGAGTCACTCAAATAAGTGATGCTGGGCAAGATTTATGCCAGAGGCTAGTCTATTTTAAATGTGTAGTTTTGGTCTCCCTGAATTAGATAACTTACATATTAATTTATATATATTGACCTTAAACTCATATTAAGTCATATACGGTGTGCTCATGAGTAAATATTAGAACAACCCTCTGACTTTGTTTTTCAAGGAGCTGTACTAGACTGTCTCAAAAAATACTTTTTTTTTTTTTTTAGCTGAGCCGTCCTGCCACCTGTTGGCAGCTCAGCAGCAGCTCAGCTCGGGCCGGGACTCGAACCAGCGACACTGTTGCTCAGAGCCCGCACTCTTGAGTGAGCTATTAACTGAGCCACTTGGCCAGCCCTAAAAATACTCAGTTTTGATTTATCATTACTTTCAGAGCTGGGAATGTTACTTAGCGCACTTCACTAAATTGAGCTTCATGCTTGTCTTCTCCAGGCACCCTGATTTATTGTCTCCGTGAGCCAAGTTCTTTGCCTCCTTCTACCCCCCTGTTGTGGCCTTAAACACATATACTTCCCTCTGCCTAATACATTCTTTCTTTCCCTCTGCCTGGCTAAGTCCCACATGTCCTTCAGGTCTCAGCTTAAATTTCAGGAAAGCCTTTAAAACTTCTGTAAAAACTTTATATTAATCGCCAAATTCAGAAAATAGCACCACCCCAAACTGAGTAGTTTTGTAACAGCCTAACATAGCTGGCTGCTGTAGCCCCTTAGATATTTCTTTGAAGGATATGCTTTTTATACCTGATTTTAAGGAATTTAAAACCATTAGGCGGAATCCTTTAAACACTGGGTAGATGGCTGAAAACAATTTGCTGGGCAAAGTTAGTCACAACAGGACTGCTTTTCAGGCAGGGCAGGTATGTCAACAAGCCTTCTTCGTGCATACGCGTGTATAACGCTCAACGCTAGGTTTACAAGAAACCAAACCCAAATCCTTATTTCAGACCAAAGCAATCACTAATCAACACAAAGATGTAATATTTGGGTTACCAGCCATATAAGGGAAATGACAGAGGCATTTCTTTGGAAGAGAGAACAACTTTAAAAAAATGGTTTCTTACTATACGTTTCCAACCTTACAGGTAGCAGTCCCATAAAGTGCTATGTTGCAGGACAGTGCAAAGGAGGGAACCAGCATCCTAGAGTTCTATATAGACTACAAACCACCTGTTTCTTACTTACGTCAAATGTGAAGTAAAGCAGATTTTAATTTAGACTTCAATTCCAAGAGTAAGGCAGTCTAGATACCCTCAATAACTCCCAGTTTACAAAACCAAATGCTGAATAAAATTGAAGCAACAATGTAAAGTAATATTAAATAATATAAAATATACTCAAATGCATCACTGAGTTGACATGAAAATAATTCATCTGCAAAACTCTAAAAATGAAGTGAAAATAGGAAACCGGTGAGGTGAGCTGGCACCAAAGCCTGCTTTTCCCCCAAGAGTTCTGTTGAACTCTGGGGACCATGAAACAGCCATGGAGCGGGGACTGGACATAAAGCCCAGGACTCACTGGGGTCTAGATGGACCATCACAGAAGTGGGCAGTAAGGAGCTTTGCCTGTCTTAATTTTGGTGTTGGAGAGGGATAAGTCACCAGCACCCTCAAATTCATAATCAAAGGCCAGCCCTCAAGGTTTGTGATCTGAAGTCACAGAACCTTCAATCTGATGAGAACAGTGGTTTCAGGTCAGTAGTCCCTGAGTGTCTGGCAGAGCAGATTCTCTCAAGGATCTCAATTTCAGTCCATACTTCAAATAATTCCTATTTTCCAAAGAAGGTAAACTTAAAATATCACTAAACACAAGGCAAAATGACACCAAAAGTGAAAAACAACACAGTTTATACAACAGTAGAATCACCCACAAAGACTAATGGTATCAACATAAGAAAAATTAATGATGTGTAAAGGAGTAGAAAGAAGCATGGAAAACATGAATAGTAAGCAAAAGATTACACAGAAAATGAGATTTAAAAAAAAAAGATTTTATTGGGGGAGGGGAACAGCATTGGGGAATCGGTGAAGGGGAACAGACAACTTGCTGTCCTTTTGTTCTTCAGTCTAGTTGTGGAGGACGTCGCTTCACTGGCCCATGTTGCTATTATTGCGCTCTTCCCAGGTGAAGCAGTCGCTCGCTGGCCATTGGACGGTCACTCATGGCAGCCCACTGCAGCAGGGGCTGCAGCCTACGCTGTCACTGGTGACTCATGGCAGCCCAGCTCCAAGTCGAGCTGTTGTTCACCATCTTAGCTGTAGAGGGCGCAGCGTCACTGGCCCCCATGTGGGATCCAGACTGGGGCCCTGCTGCTCAGAGCTGGCATCCCAAGCCAACTCTTAACCAACATGCCACTCGGCTGGCAAACAAGGAGATTTTTAAACCAAATAGGACTCAAGAAGATAACTGAAAATAAAAACACAACAAATAGAGGAGCGGAAGAAAGAATAAGAAAATGAAAAATGAAAGACAAGGAAAAAGGGCAGAAGTGGACAAAAATGACACATGAGGAGGACCTAGAAATCCAACTTATATTTGTACTCACAATAAATATAAATGTACTAAACTATCCAGTTAAAAAGATAGATTTTCTTTGGCCTTATCTTTTAAGTGTGTCTCCTGCAAACTCAAAATATATGGCCAAAGAAAGACAGGATATTCAGATAAAGACTAACCAAAATATTGTTATGGTAAGAACAATAACAACAAAACAAGGCAACAAGCAGTCACAGAGACAGAGTCACTACATAATCATAACAGGTTCAATTCACCAGGGAAGATAGAAAAATTCTAAAATTAGTATGCCTCTAATAATATCTCCGTCCCCCCCCCCAATAAAGGCAAATACAACCTCAAGTGAAATTAAGAAATCTACCATAATGAGATCTTGAGACTCCAGGAAAAAAGAAATCAAGTATAACGTAAATCGATAAAGAGAAGATCTGTACAGCACAACTAAGAAGTTTGATCTAATGGATACGATACTCCACAGTTGGGGAATACACACTCTTTTCAAGAATACGTGGAACATGTAGAGAACTGGTCACATAATAAATCATAAAGCTATTCTCAAATTTCAGAAAACTGAAATCTTATAGTCCATATACTCTGGCAAAATTATAATAGAAATAAAGATTAAGACAACTACAACATACCCCTGGCATTTGCAAATAACTTCTAAAATAACTAATGGGTTTAATATTCAAATCTCTGGAAGGATTAAAGGGAAAAAAAGTAAATAGGTAAATA